ATATGTATCAGGAAATGTAATAAAAATGGAGAATTTTTTCCTCTTCATTTTTGGCAAAATTTGGTCTGTGACCCTGTACTATAGTACAGGGACTTTGGCCCAATTTTAGAGCAACTTAAAAAATTTGTAAAAAATTCAATTTTAATCAGAATGAGCTCAAACTTTCTACACAACATAAGTACATGTATATGTATCAGAAAATGTAATAAAAATGGAGAATTCTTTCCCCTTCATTTTTGGTAAAATTTGGTCCAAGACCATGTACTATAGTACAGGGACTTTTACCCAAATTTAGAGAAACTTTAAAAATTCGTAAAAAATCTAATTTTAATCGGAATCAGCTCAAACTTTCTACACAACATAAGTACATGTATATACATCAGGAGATGTAATAAAAATGGAGAATTCTTTCCTTTTCATTTTTGATGAAATTTAGTTTGTGATCTTGGCCCGATTTTAGAGCAACTTAAAAGGTTGTAAAAAATCCAATTTTGATCGGAATGAGCTCAAACTTTCTACACGTACAACATAAGTGTACATGCATATGCATCTGAAAATGTAATAAAGCACTATGCCAAAATCCTGCAGGAAAATTTTATAACATACTTGCGTTGTTGATTGTAGTGCTGAACCAGCTTCTGATCTGATTTCAATGATTTGAGATCAATTGAACTCAGGCCTCTAAAAGGAGAGAGATTCACTGAGCATTAAATAAGTAAATAATTCAATAATATAATTATTGTTATAAGTATTGTAATACTTAGTCTTTGCTTTATCTCTCGGTCCTGCTTCTATTAGCATTCATAATCTTCTCTAGCTATCCATAGGTGTGATTATTGATTAGTCTAGGGCGTGGCAGATCTCTGCTGCATGCAGCATCTACAGTTGACGCCCTGTTTGGTTTGTTATGCTCATGAAGATGAGTTTGTTGAGTGTTCTGGCCTCCTTCTTGACACTGGTCTACGTTGCTAACGCTCAAGGTAAGAGCTTGAAGCGTACTAGCATGCACCTTTGTATTGTAACTACTACCTTGTTACTACCTGCACTGCTGCAGTTTACTGAGCTTCATCTATGAAGGCTATATGCCTGTATCATATTCATGTCACATTTGCTATAGGACGTGGAACAGTTAGACTCTACAGCAACAACTCCACCTCATCAACACTAACTGCTGGAATAGTCCAGATATACTATGGTCATTCCACTGGTACAAACACATGGGGCAATATCTGTGAGGACGATTCATTTGGTCACAACGAAGCTGACGTCATTTGTAACCAGCTGGGATATGACGGAGCTTCAACTTTTGGCAAAGCAGGAAGCACAACAATGTAGCTTAGTTAACAAATCCATCAACTTGTCATGAAGTATTGATCCTTTCCATACAGGTATGGGACTGATTCCCTTCACACAATTATTGATGATGTTACCTGTTCTGATGATGATTTCTTAACACTCCAACAGTGTAGCTTTGATACTACAATCTCAAGTACATGTGGTGATTCTAATGATGCCTTTGTTGTCTGCTGTAAGTGATATCAAACTGGTAACCAGCTAATACTTATATTAATAGATACTACTAGAATCTGGGATGCTCCTTATTCTGGACAGATACGTTTGCAAAATGGAACTAATTCAAGTTATGGTAGACTGGAAGTATATTGTAATGGACAGTGGGGTACAGTATGTGATGATAGCTTTGGCTCAACTGATGCTAGAGTTGCCTGCCGTCAGTTAGGATACAGTGATTCTTATACATATACCAGCACTGATGATCTGTCAGTTAATTACATAGTCTAAAATGCAATTATTGTTTTTCATTCCTTTATACAGTGGTGGTTCTGACACTCAGGCTATCTGGTTAAGTAATATTGACTGCAGTACTGATTCAGAGAGCTGCTTTGCTTATTGTGCTCACTGCCCTAGAGCTGAGAATCAACCATCACAGTGCTCACACAGTCAAGACATATCATTAGGCTGTCGTAAGTTGATACTTTATAATTACAGTGTCAAATTACATGTACATTTGGAAATGTAATCAATTCTTTATATCTTCATGCTTTTTAAAGAGTTTAATCCTGACTATCCAGTCCCCAGTAATACCCTGGAGACTTGCAGATATGCTGATGATATTGCTTCAAGTAAGAAACTATAGATAATGTCTATTGTTTGAAGTATTTTATGTATCAGCCATTAATGACCTTGCTGCCATCATTGGAGGAGTAGTTGCAGTTTTTATTGTATGCTGTATCCTCATAATAACAATACCATTGTGTGTATGTTGCTGTTTGGGTGTTGGAGTGGGAGCTTTAATAGGAGGAAGTACAAGGAGGACAGGACCACAACAAACTCCAGCAGCCATTGAAGCTGGAGCTGGCTTATCAAATACAAGAAAAAGTAATCCATTATCAGGAACACATCCTCCACCTTCAGGTGGGCAAAAGGAAAGACTTCCGGCTCAAAAGAAAAACCCTCCAACACAGAAAGTCACCAAACAAAAGTAAGTATATAAATTGAGCTTAATAAATGACACACATTAATACTATAGACCTGAGGATGATATTACAATGCAAGTATGTGAACCATATGCTCTTCACAAAACATCTCCTGGTGCTTTTAATGATGAAAGTCCAGCTCCACAAGAAGAACTACCTCCTCCAATCGAAGAAGTACCTCCTCCAATATCTCCCCCTGAAGAAGAAATTACTGTTGCTGTAAAAGAAGAAGTTCCACAAGAAGAAAGTCCTCCTCTTCCTCCACAAGAAGAAAGTCCTCCTCCTCCTCCACAAGAAGAAAGTCCTCCTCCTCCTCCACAAGAAGAAGAAATACAAGAAATTTCTCCTCCAAAAGAAGAAAGTCCTCCTCCGCAAGATGAAGATGAAGTACCTCCTCAAGAAGAAAATGAACTACCTCCTCCAGAAGTACCTTCTCAACATGAAGTATCTCCTCCTCCTTCACAGGATGAAGTACCTCCCCCAGAAGATAATGGTGTACCTCCTCAAGATGAGGCACCTTCTGAAGACCAAGTACCTCCTCCTCCACAAGACGAAGCTTCTCCACAAGATGATGAAGTATCTCCTCCACAAGACAAAGCTTCTCCACAAGATGATGAAGTATCTCCTCCACAAGATGAATCTTCTCCACAAGACAATGAAGTACATGTACCTCCTACACAAGATGATGAAGTATCTCCTCCACAAGATGATGAAGTATCTCCTCCACAAGATGTTTCTCCAGAAGGAGTAAGTAGTCCTGAAGTACAAGAGGTTCCTACAGCTGCTGCTGCTCCACAAGAAGAGATACCTCAAGAGGAAGAGCCTGCGCAACAAGAAAATTCTACACTGCAAGAGAACGAAGAAGAGCAACCCCCCACAGAGATATAGAACTAGCCTCCTCAGTTTCGCTCAGTTTTAACAAGCTGCTTTGTGTAGATAGTACATCGAAATATCATTATAGTTTAGGTTCCAATTTTATAATGATTTTACATTTATGTTAGTGTTATTTTTATAGCATAGAATTATTATTTTCTATTATCATTAAAAATGTTATTCATAGTAGACTAACAGAACTCAATCACGTGATTGGAACTGACCTCAGTGACCTGCTCAGTCTACTGTTGACGCCCTTCTTTGTTTTGCAAGGTTTTGCCGTCATAACTGATAATGGAGTTATCATTCATAACTGCAGGCTCACGTTTCAAACTTGATAGTCTTGGTTGACGCCCTTTTTGTTTTGCGTTTTTGCTGTGATAAATGATGGGATTGCTCAGTGTTCTGGTGCTCTTTTTGACCGCTTTGTTCTGCCATACTAATGCTCAGACTCAGTGTAAGACAGATAATTACATTTATAAGTAGAATAGCTATAATAGCAAACAGAACGGATGCTATATATAATATATGCGTAGTGTCTAATACTGCAGGCTATAGCCCATTCAGCACTGATGCATCAGATATAGATATACTAGCCACTTGAAGTGATTCCTCTCTAAATCTTAGTAATACTGAATCCACCAATTACCCAGGCTAAACCGAACTTAAACACTTTTTCCATCTAATTGTAGATCGTGGAACTGTTCGACTGGTTAGAAGTGGATTCTACTCATCAACTTATTCAGCTGGAATAGTTGAGATTTATTACACTACCAGTTCCTCCAGTACACTCAGATGGGGTAACATTTGTTATGATAGTTCATTTGCTAGCACTGAAGCTAGTGTCATTTGTAACCAGTTGGGGTATAATGGAGCATCAACCTATGGTAGAGCTGGGAGCACATTGCTGTATGTATACTGCATTATTAAACAATATAATTTAATTTCTAATCATCGTTTTGATTGCATTATCTTTCTATAGCTATGGAACTGATACTCTAGCTACAATCCTTGATGATGTCAACTGTTTCAGTAGTAGCTATTTGACACTGGAGCAATGCAGCCTCTCAACATTTATTAAATCCTCTTGCACCAGTGACAGTTATGATGCATATGTATCTTGCTGTAAGTATAATAGTCCATCAGGCAATAATAATATTTAATCAACTTTTTATTAACATGCAGATACTACTAGAATCTGGAATAATCCTTATTCTGGACAGATTCGTCTACAAGGAGGTACTTATTCAAGTTATGGTAGACTGGAAGTATATTGTAATGGACAGTGGGGTACAGTTTGTGATGATAGCGTTGGTGCAACTGATGCTAGAGTTGCCTGCCGTCAGTTAGGATACAGTGATTACAGTACATATACTGGAAACCTGTTAGTAAACTTGCTTATGAATAATATATGTTTACAGTTTCATGTTATCTCTTGTCATTGATCTGTGTTGTGTATATTTCTTTATAGGGCTGGGTCTAGCTCTCAACCTATTTGGTTGGACAATGTTGTTTGCAGCAGTTCATACAGTTGTTTTGCCTATTGTGAGTCTTGTCCCTCTTCACAATTTCACAACTGTCTTCACAGTGAAGATGTGGCTTTGGGATGTGGTAGGTTATAATGATATCAATGAATATTTTTAATTAAATTCTTGCATAGAATTTAGTAGTTTTTATACTACATCCACTAATACACTCAGCACTTGTCAATATGCTGACTCCATTTCTTCAGGTAAATACTGAAATAGCATTCAACAATAACTGAATGTATCTAATAGCCAGTGACAGTATTGGTGCCATCATTGGAGGAGTAGTTGCAGCAGTTTTCATATGTATCGTCCTCATAATAACCATACCAATATGTATATGTTGTTGTTTGGGTGTTGGAATTGGTGCTGCTGCTCGTGGTGGAAGGAGTTCAACAAGAACAACTGTAGTTGGAGGAGCTAGTGATGTTACATGTACCGGAGCGACCAGTCAAACAACTAGTGCTTATCCTCAGTCTGGATATGATGCTAGTTACCCTCCACAACAGGGTTATGCTCCACAGCCGGGTTACCCTCCAGCTCCACAGCAAGGTTATGCTCCACAGCCGGGTTACCCTCCACAGCAAGGTTATGGATACCCACCACAGTAGTGATGTGGTGCATCATCTGCTAGCTGCTCTTAAACACTTTAGTCTATATAGATATTGCTATAGTTTTTAGTTTTCCCTTTTCATTAATAATTATTTTATTGCTTTGCTAGTCACAAATCTATAGATCTACCATTCTTGGTTCAATTCCTGTAAGTGAGCCTAGCTGCATATGCACTCTGGAATGTTGTTTACTCACGTGATTTACATAGCCTACTCTTGGTTGACGCCCTGTAGTCTACTGTTTACGTTTTGCTTAGTCGTGGTGGGTGAACAAGGTGATAATGGGATTGCTCGGTGTTGTGGTGCTTCTCTTGACTTTGTCTTACCACACTAATGCTCAGCTGTGTAAGATAAATATATTACTGTATCATAAGACCAATAGAATTAGTTAAATACCTAGTTCTAGCTAAATGCACTCATGCATGAGTTTAGGTAACTGTCGGTCAGTTTTTAATTTCTCCATAATCCATAGACTTTTGACCTCAGTCTTCTTTCTGTCTTTAAATACAGTGTTGAAATGTTTAAATAGCTCATAGACGTAGTTTAGCTTAAACTGTTCCTGTCCATGTAATGACGAATACAGTCATGGTGATGAATGGACTGAACTTGATTTGTCTCATCCAATAGACCGTGGAACTGTTCGACTAGTTATAGGTGGAGTTTTCTCACAATCTATTGAACGGACAGCTGGAATAGTTCAGATCTATTACTTTACCAATACCTCCACTTCAAACAGATGGGGCAATATCTGTGATGATAGTTCATTTGGTAGCACTGAAGCTAGTGTCATTTGTAACCAGTTGGGGTATAATGGAGCATCAGGTTTTGGTAGAGCTGGTAGTACAACAAGGTATGTATGGACAAGCATACATGTAATTTGATTGGGAGGAAAACAAAACTATTATTCATTTGTCATTATATCTAATATTAATTATGTAGCTATGGGATTGATACAGCTGCCACACTTATTGATGATGTTAAGTGTGCTAGTAGTAGCTATTTGACTCTCAAGCAGTGCAGCTTTTCAACAATTATTAAATCCTCTTGCACCAGTAACAGTGAAGATGTTTATGTATCATGCTGTAAGTATAGTATTTATAGTTTATACTAAAAAATTTAATCAAAATTCTTTTCACAGACAGTACTAGAATCTGGGACAATCCTTATTCTGGACAAATTCGTCTACAAGGAGGTCCTTATACAAGTTATGGTAGACTGGAAGTATATTGTAATGAACAGTGGGGTACAGTATGTACTAATACCTTTGATGTAACTGATGCTACAGTCGCCTGCCGTCAGTTAGGATACAGTGGCTATACTACATGGGCTGGAACTCTGTTAGTAAAACTGTTTTTGCTCAGTGTTTTATTTCATTTTATACAGTGCTGGGTCTGACTCTCAACCTATTTGGTTGAACAATGTTGATTGTACCAGTTCATCTCTTTGTTTTGCTTATTGTCAATCATGCCCCTCCTCCCAATCTTCTAGCTGTGGACACAGTCAAGATGTGGCTTTGGGATGTGGTAAGCTGTCATTCTGTTCTATAAATAAGTTGATACTTTTCTTGTACAGAATTTGATAGTACTTACACATCCACTCATATACTGAGCACTTGTGAATATGCTGACTCAAGTAAATATAGAAATAGCTTAAATTACTGTACTCATAACATTTATTTTATAGTTGCCAACAACATTGCTGCCATTGTTGGAGGAGTAATTGCAGCTTTTGTCATATGCTGTGTCCTCATAATATCAATACCAATATGTATATGTTGCTGTTTGGGTGTTGGAATAGGAGCTGCTGCTCGTGGTGGAAGGGGTACAACAACAAAAACAACAACTGTAGGAGGAACTAATGTTACTACAGCTACTACCAGTCAAACAACTAGCGGTTACCCTCCACAGCAGGGTTACTCTCCACAGCAGGGTTATCCTCCACAGCAGAGTTATCCTCCACAGCAGGGTTATCCCATGCAAGAAGAAAAGGGATATGGATACCCACCACAGTAATAGTTTACTGTCAGTAACACTGCTTTTATATTATGTCTCATTAGTTTAGTTTTCCCCAGTCTTTTTTATTACTGCTTTTATAATTGGTTTTTTAATACAATTAAATATTCATAGTTAAATCACTTCCTGTTTAAGCTCCTCTTTGGCTAGGTGTGATAATTTAAAACAACTGTGAGCATAGATACTACAACCACTAACGCTGTGAGCTATTGGGGCAGTTCCTGACTAAAATATCTTACTGCTATAGTCTAAGTAGAAAGTTCTTTGTGTGGATAATGGGCTTACTAAGTGTCCTGTTGCTACTGATAGGTTTGATCTACACTGCTCACTGTCAAAGTAAGTTTAATACCCACATAGATCTGTGTTGTAATAAATATTCTTATCATTATAATTTTTATAATTTAAGGAGGGCAGATCTATGTAGGATATTGTATATGTCTTTACACAGGCAATGCTTTAAATGCAATTATGAGTACTTTGTGCGTATAGTATAAGTAAATGGTAGCACTGACTAATTACTTTGGTTTGCTAGCTGTAGTGTTAAATTAACATACTAGACCTTATTAACAGTGAGAAGTTGTCAATTGTATTTGTCCTTATTAGACTTGGCAAGGATATGAGAGCTCACTATTTCTACACTTAAATGCATTGATAATGGTTTTTTATTTTATTTTTGCACACGAAAAAAAGCTCTAGGACGAGGAACTGTTCGACTAGTTAGAAATGGAGTTTCTGCATCCTCTTATTCATCTGGAATAGTTCAAATCTATTACTTTACCAGTTCCTCCACTAGAAACAGATGGGGCAATATTTGTGATGATACTTCATTTGGTAGCACTGAAGCTAATGTCATTTGTAACCAGTTGGGGTATAATGGAGTATCAAGTTATGGTAGAGCTGGTAGCACATCAAGGTATAACTATATGCACACACTATGTATTATTATAAATATAATTTTGGTGAAGCAAAATTTTGCATCATAGTGCAAATTTGGCAAATTGGCTTCAAAATTTAACTAGCAATAAGTGCATCAAAATACCGTTTCCTAGATGATTATAAACAAGTCAGTCATGTGATCAAACTGATCAAGCACACGTACACATTTCCTTTTTGACTATGTTTATTAGGAAGTGCAGTAAATACTCTCAAAACAAAATCATTTTGTTCCCATTACAGTATCCTTCAATAGTGCTTGCCAGAATTTACTGAACTTTGCTCTATATTCCTACAACTTATTTTTTGATCCATTTATTACCTTTATCATTATTTGAAAAATTAGTACAAATGTAGTTTTAGTGATATATAATTATTTTTGAGTTAGCTGCACTTTGTATATAGTTATGGAACTGACTTTAATGACACCATTCTTGATGATGTTAGTTGCTCTAACAGAAACTATTTAACTCTACAGCAGTGTTCTGTTTCTACAACTATTTCAAGCTTCTGCTCTCTTCTTAATTCAAATGATGCTTATGTAGTTTGCTGTAAGTTAGTAACAACATAAAGTGCAGCAACTTTTTCTGTTATCATACAGATACTACAAGAATCTGGAATAATCCTTATTCTGGACAGATTCGTCTACAAGGAGGTACTTATTCAAGTTATGGTAGACTGGAAGTATATTGTAATGGACAGTGGGGTACAGTATGTGATGATACCTTTGATGCAACTGATGCTAGAGTTGCCTGCCGTCAGTTAGGATACAGTGATTCCCTTACATATCATTCTGGAAGCAAATTGTAAGCATATGTCACTATTATATTTTTCATTAAAATTTGACTGTTTCTTTATTTTTAGTGCTGGGTCTGTCTCTCAACCAATTTGGCTGGATAGGGTTCTGTGTAGCTCTTCTGACAATTGTCTTTCTTCTTGTGAGTCTTGTCCCTCTTCAGAATACAATAATTGTGGACATAGTGAAGATATTGCAGTTGCATGTGGTCAGCTCCTTTATTAATGATCGACTTTGTAATGATTAATTTAATATTTTTAGAATTTGACACCTCTCAAACTGCTTCAAGTAATACGCTAAGTACCTGTCAATATGCCAACAATCCAGGTAATAAAATAAAATTATAATAACATACGTATATATTGTTTTCAATTAATAGTTAATGTAGGAGGGATCATTGGAGGAGTGATTGCAGTTTTTGTCATATGCTGTGTCCTCATAATAACAATACCAATATGTATATGTTGTTGTTTGGGTGTTGGAATTGGTGCTGTTGCTCGTGGTGGGAGGAGTGGGCGTACTAAAGTAGTAACTGCTGGTGCTACTAGTACTACAGTTACTACTAGCAATGCTACTGCACCACCTCCTGCTTATAATCAGCAACCACCTCCAGCAGTAGCTCCTTATCCAACTCAGCAGGGATATCCTGTTCAGCCTGGATATCCTGTTCAGCCTGGCTATCCACCACAGCAAGGATATCCCGCTCCACCACCTTATCCAGCACAATATTGACAATGATAATAACAATGATATAGCTCTAATACTCTCAGTAGTGACTATCGGCTTTGTTATAGAACTTAGTTCATGATTCATTTTAGTATTTTGTCCTTTCCTTTATTAGAAATAAGAGATAACATAATTATAAAATATCATTTCCGGTAGATCTACGGCATCATAGTTTATCATGTTTATATAAAAGCACAGCTGTATAGTCTGTGGGCTGGGCCCGATTAGTCACGGCCGGTACGGTGATTCTCTAGAAGCTCTCTGTGTTAAGTGCTGTCCTTTTGGTGTTCCTGTGCATTAAACTGTGACTGTCATGGGCTTACTAAGTGTCCTGTTGCTACTGATAGGCTTGATCTACACTGCTCGCTGTCAAAGTAAGTTGTTCACATAATTATTATTGAATCGCGTCTGTTCGCCGGTCAATGCAGCGGCTAGCCCTGAGGTAGACTAGCCCTAAGGTAGACTAGCCCTAAGGTAGACTAGCCGTGAGGCTACGGTGCACCATAGATATACACTGTGGAGTATAGTGTTTGTACCCATGGATATTTGTATATCTATGGGTGCACGTTACACACTAGATCTATCTGCAGTAAAAGTTTTACTGACGTATTGGCGATTCTGCATTTCAGATTGGTGAACCATATGTCAGTTATAAACATTATGAAAACTTTATAAAGCGATTCATTCTGCCAAATTTTGACATTTACGGTCTAAAGGTGGGTTCTCAATATCACGCATGCACGTCCATCACGACCGGAAGTGCTGCCATAAACCAATGGGAGCATGTGTCACATTAGAAAACATTTCTATTCTGACACATTGACGCATGCTCCCATTGGTTCATATAGCACTTCCAGTCGTGACGCTAGAGCATGAAAAACAATGTGTCATATCAAGAACCCACCTTAAATGGTATAAAATGCCAAATATATTGTCTAACATTTCTGCTGACTGTATGGCTTAATTTGATCTACATACTTGTTGGGTTAACATGTCAGTTGCTATGTAAATAGTTCTGTTTATTTTTACATGTTTCTTTTGAACTTGACAATTTCTTAATTTGTTTAATAGACCGTGGAACTGTTCGACTTGTTAGAAGTGGAACTTTCTCATCATCTTATTCAGCTGGAATAGTTCAAATCTATTACTTCACCAGCTCCTCCAGTACAAACAGATGGGGCAATATTTGTTATGATAGTTCATTTGGTAGCACTGAAGCTAGTGTCATTTGTAACCAGTTGGGGTATAATGGAGCATCAAGTTATGGTAGAGATGGTAGCACATCAAGGTATGCATGGAATATTTTGTGGAGAATTTTAATTCATAATTATACTGTGATGCAATTTCCTTATTGAAAATGTTTACATTTGTCACTTAATTATTTGAATTCTTGTCCAAAAATGGAGTTATTAGTCCATCAACCTAATTAAGAGCTATGCCCATGCATATATTACACAATTAAAGATGTATGGGTTAACAGGGTTTCCACAGGATATTGGCATATTAGTACCAGAGTACATATTATTGTACTCTTGGTACTAGTACTCATGCAGCTTCTTGTCAGTGGATTGTCACGGGCCACATAAATGAAAAGACTAGAATTCTTTATATAATTTTTTTCTGATGCATATACATGTACTTGTCTTGTGTATTGAGTTTGAGCTCATTTCAATGAAAATTAGATTTTTTATGAATTTTAAAATTTACCCAAAATTCATTTTTATAATGAGTTGAAAATTTCCAACTCTTCTACATACACTAGGCAACATGTTGCTTGCAACATCTGGGGTTACTTTGATCTTTTATGCCCACCATCCACTATTCAACTTTGTTGAAAGCAACTTTGTGGTTACTTTGATGTGCTGTCAACTCTGTTGCCTGAAATAGAACTGAGTTCTATTTCAGGCAACAGAGTTGCCATAAGATCAAAGTAACCACAAAGTTGCTTTCAACAAAGGCTACATTTACACAGCAACGCAAAACGCATCGTTTTAAAAGTATCCACTTTGAACACCGTTTTCGTTTCCATAGAGTTCTATCAAGATTTTATCACGTTTTCATTCGTTCCTGTGTAAACAGAAGCATAAAACAGGCACAAAACTATACGGATTGCATCGTTTTCGTTGCTGTGTAAACGTGGCCAAAGTTGAATAGTGGATGGTGGGCTTTAAGCAACATGTTGCCAGAAATAGAAGGCTGTTCTATTTCTGGCAACATGTTGCTTACAAGATCAAAGTAACCACAAATGTTGCCAGCAACATGTTGCCTAGTGTATGCCTGGCTTTACAGTCACTTCCATTGTGACACATTCTATGTAAATCAAATGTATAATTATCATATCATATAGTTATGGAACTGACAGCAGTGCTACCATTATTGATGATGTTAGTTGCTCGAATAGTAACTATTTAACTCTACAGCAGTGTACTCTTTCTACATCTATTTCAACTTTAAGCTCTTGCTCTCTTCGTACTTCATATGATGCTTATGTAGCTTGCCGTAAGTTATATAATAGTTAATAGATTTAATGGTATTATTATTATTATGTTACATTGTACAGATACAACTAGAATCTGGAATAATCCTTATTCTGGACAGATTCGTCTACAAGGAAGTACTTATTCAAGTTATGGTAGACTGGAAGTATATTGTAATGGACAGTGGGGTACAGTATGTGATGATACTTTTGGTTTCACTGATGCTAGAGTTGCCTGCCGTCAGTTAGGATACAGTGATTACAATTCATACAGTGGAAACCTGTTAGTTCAGTTATTGTGAAAACAATGCATTTAAAAATATTGTTTGTGTTTCTAGTGCTGGGTCTAGCTCTCAACCTATTTGGCTGGACAGGGTTTATTGCAGCAGTTCAGACAGTTGTCTTGCCTATTGTGAATCTTGTCCCTCTTCAGAATATCATGACTGCACACACAGTGAAGATGTTGCTTTGGGATGTGGTAAGCTGTTGCTCTATGCTACATGTAAAAAGTGATTACATAACCATTTTAGAATTTGACACCTCTCGAACTGATTCAACTAATACACTAAGTACCTGTCGATATGCTGACTCCTCAGGTAGCGAAATGAAATAAAGTTGTAGCAGATTATTATTATTTATTTTAAATTAATAGCTAACATAGGAGGGATCATTGGAGGAGTGATTGCAGCTTTTGTCATATGCTGTGTCCTCATAATATCAATACCAATATGTATATGTTGCTGTTTGGGTGTTGGAATTGGTGCTGCTGCTCGTGGTGGAAGGAGTGGACGTGCTACAGTAGTAACTGCTGGTACTACTACTGCTACTAGTGCTACAGTAACTACTACTAATACTAGTAATCTTACTGCACCTCCTCCTCCTGCTTATGAGCAACAGCCACCACCTCCTGCTGCTTATCCTGCAGCTTATCCTGCTGCTGGTTATGATGCAGAAAAAGCTCCTTATCCACCTCAGCAGGGATACCCTGCTCAGCCTGGCTATCCACCACAGGAGGGGTATCCTCCTCAAGGATATGCTTATCCTCCACAAGGATATGAAGCTCAGCCTGGCTATCCACCTCAACAAGGATATAATTATCCTCCACCAGCTTATCCAGCTCAATAATATTATACTGTCATTAACTAATTTTGTATGCTTTGTTAGTAGAACAAAGTATACTCAAACTGTAGCTGATCGTCTTAGTTTAGTTATGTATTTTCCCTTTGTATGGTTGTTAGTTGTTATCGTGACTATTTAAGTGATTTGTAATGACCAAATTTTTATTCTTTTCAAAGTAACTAATTTTTAAGCAGATCGGTAGCTTCTAGTCTGCATCCTGTTTATGAGTGCAACAATTCATCATGTTGACCCTGGGGAATATCCCTGCATAGTTGACCCGAAAGTTTAATGACCACAACTTGCTTTCAACTTGAAGGCATGAATGTAAAGTTTAATTGCAATCATAGTTTGAAGAGAGGGCGTGACCAGGCAAGTTGCTGCAAATTCAAAGCAACTACACACAACTTTTAACTTTAGAGCTCTTGTAGCTACTCACTGACATTAACTGCTGCTATTTCAGTCTTGTGTGAACAATGAGCTTACTAAGCGTCCTGTTGCTACTGTTGGGTTTGATCTACACTGCTCACTGTCAAAGTGAGCTATTCTTGCACTACATGATAATATATGCTTTTACTTTTTGCACACAAAATAGGAAGTGGAACTGTTCGACTAGTTAGAAATGGAGTTTTTTCATACATCTATTCATCTGGGATAGTTCAGATCTATTACTTTACCAGTACCTCCTCTGCAAACAGATGGGGCAATATTTGTGATGATACTTCATTTGGTATCACTGAAGCTAATGTCATTTGTAACCAGTTGGGGTATAATGGAGTATCAACCTACGGTAGAACTGGGAGCACAACAATGTAAAAGCTCTTATTATTATACTGATGTGTGTGTGTTTTGAATATTGAATTGTTCATCTAAAATATAGGGTGATTATCCCAATGTATCCTCAAACATTTATGCATGATCTTAATTAAGAGGCATTACAAAGTTTATATGTGTAGATAAAAGAATTTAATTGTTGTAATTGTTATTTTGCTGGTTTATAGCTATGGAACTGACTTTAATGCTACCCTTCTTGATGATGTCAGTTGTTCTAGCAGTAACTACTTAACTCTACAGCAGTGTACTCTTACTACATCCATTTCAAGCACTTGCTTTCTTGATTCATATGATGCTTATGTAGTTTGCTGTAAGTTCATTTGGCATACTGTTATGTATCTTAAATAATTATTACAGTAGAAGTATTAACTTACTGAGCAAATTGTAAACATTAATAAATGCAACTTTTAAGGAACAAAATTGCTGTAGAGAAGCAAAATTTAGATTTTAGCATGCCTCAGTTATTGAAAACAAACTCAAGATAGTGATTGACAAACATATCCTTTTTGAATTTATCACAATGACATTTTGTCGATAATTTGAAAGTGAAGTTTTGTCCATCTGAACAGCATAAGTGAGTTGTTTCGGATTCAGTGCAAGTTGCACCATTCATATTATTATCATCACAATTATAATAATAATAACAATCTTTATCATGTATACAGATACTACTAGAATATGGAATAATCCTTATGCTGGACAGATTCGTCTAGTAGGAGGGATCTACACAAGTTATGGTAGACTGGAAGTATATTGTAATGGACAGTGGGGTACAGTTTGTGATGATACTTTTGATGCAATTGATGCTAGAGTTGCCTGCCGTCAGTTAGGATACAGTGATTACACTACTTATCATTCTGGAGCCTCGTCGTTAGTACTGAGTATTTAAATTATTAAAATAACCTTACTCCTTATCTACAGTGCTGGGTCTAGCTCTCAACCTATTTGGCTGGACAGGGTTTATTGCAGCAGTTCATACAGTTGCCTTTCTTCTTGTGAATCTTGTCCATCTTTACAATATCATGACTGTAGTCATAGTGAAGATATTGCAGTTGCATGTGGTCAGCTCCTTTATTAATGATCGACTGTGTAATAATTAATTTAATATTTTTAGAATTTGACACCTCTCGAACTCCTCCAAGTAACACAATAGGGTCCTGTCGATATAGTAAGAGTGATTGAATGTACTGATAGTATTAGTGACAAAAATTTCATATGAAGTATTCTGTGTTGTATACTTCCTATGAAAGTATGCAATTTCCTTAATTTCCTAAAATTCCCAACAAAAGTCCTTGTACTATAGTACAGGGATTTTTGTAAAATTTCACAGAGATTGACAAGTAAAAAATTCCTCAATTTTATTACATTTTCTGATGAATATAGATGTACCTATGTTGTGTGGAAAGTTTGAGCTGATTCTGATCAAGTTTGAATTTTCTATGATTTTTTAAAGTTGCTCAAAAATCAGACAAAGGTCCTTGTACTATAATAGTACAGGGATTTTTGTAAAATTTCACAAAAATTGACAAGTAGAAAATTCTTCAATTTTATTTCTTTTTCTAATGGATATAGATGTACTTATGTTGTGTAGAAAGTTTGAGCTGATTCCGATCATGTTTGGATTTTCTATGATTTTTTAAAGTTGCTCAAAAATCGGACAAAGGTCCTTGTACTATAGTACAGGGGTTTTTGTAAAATTTCACAAAAATTGACAAGTAAAAAATTCCTCAATTTTATTACATTTTCTGATGCATATATATGTACTTATGTTGTGTGGAAAGTTTGAGCTGATTCCAATCAAGTTTGGATTTTCTATGATTTTTTTAATTTGCTCCAAAATCGGACAAAAGTCACTGTACTATAGTACAAGGATTTTTGTAAAATTTCACAAAAATTGACAAGTAGAAAATTTCTCAATTTAATTACATTTTCTGATGCATATGCTTTTTCAAAATGCTGATAACTTGAAAGATATTTGTTGGAATCCATTAAAATTTTTACACAGCATAAGGACATCAATATGTATCAAAAAATGTAATAAAAATTTGGGGTGATTTCAGAGCCATTTTTTGGAAAAAAACCATGGGCTAAAGCCTTGGGTATTTTTCAGAATTTTGGCATAAGTTTTAAAATGGCTGTAACTTGAATAATTGAAGCTGGAATTGACTCAAACTTTCTCCACAGCATAATGACATCAATATGCATCAGAAAATGTAATAAAATTGAAGTGAATTTGGATCCATTTTTTTGAAAAAACCATGGGCTACAGGTTTATTGTCACACAAATTAATTGTATTTTGACCTGATGTCTGATGCCAATAAGTCTATAGGTAATAAACTCATGATTCTATTACTTTCAATAGACTCTCCTGCATCCTCCACTAACACTCCAGTCACCACTAGTACCCCCACGACTACAACTGATACTTCAGGAATCGGTGGTATCATTGGAGGAGTAGTTGCATCATTTGTCATATTTTGCATCCTCATAATAACAATACCAATATGTGTCTGTTGCTGTTTGGGTGTTGGAATTGGTGCTGCTGCTCGTGGTGGAAAGAGTGGACGTGCTACAGTTGTAACTACTGGTGCTACTACTGCTACTAGTGCTACATTAACTAATGTTGCTGCACCTCCTCCTCCTGCTTACAATCAACAACCACCACCTCCTGTAGCTTATCCTGCTGCTGGTTATGATGCTGAAAATGCTCCTTATCCACCTCAGCAGGGATATCCTGCTCAGCCTGGCTACCCTCCACAGGAGGGGTATCCTCCTCAAGGATATGCTTATCCTCCACAAGGATATGAAGCTCAGCCTGGCTATCCACCTCAACAAGGATATAATTATCCTCCACCAGCTTATCCAGCAGCACAATATTAGTATCATACTGTCATTAGCTTATTGTCAGTATGCTTTGTTAGTAGAAAATAGTGTACTCAAACTGTAGCTGACTTAATATAGTTATGTATTTTCCCTTTATTATTGTTATTATCATTTTAAATGTAATTTTACCTTTTGAAGTGCTTTGGCATGACCAAATTGCTGTAGATTGGCTGGTATTACTGGCTTCTAGTCTGCATCCTGTTTACTAATGAAGTACTTGCATGTGTGGTCACTTTCAGTTTATGTAACTGCTGTCTTTGATCATGGTATTTGCAGATATTGCAGGAAATATCATTGGAGGAGTATTTGCAGGGGTTTGGAAATTATCCTGCATGATACACAGCATGCTGTATGTATAGTTTGTATGTGTTGCTATTTTCATTTTTCTGCTACTCCACTTGGTAGGAGGAATAAGAGTAGACATGATAAAGTATAGTAACTGCTGGTGCTACTAGTACTACAGTTACTACTAGCAATGCAACAGCACCACCTCCTGCTTATAATCAGCAACCACCGCCAGCAGTAGCTCCTTATCAAACTCAGCAGGGATATCCTGTTCAGCCTGATATCCTCCAAAGGAATATGTTTAACCACCACAAAGCTCTCCACCAGCATAGAATACTTTGACTAAATGTGTGTCTTTGTATAATTATTTTTAGTAGAATGTATATTGCACAAGATATTTACTGTTTCTGCATGTACTTTAATTCCATTCATAAAAGTTTGACTATTGATAATAGATCTACCATTGCTCTGCAGAGTCAGTCAGTAGTTAAGTGTCTAGACTACTGGCCTTTGCAGAATCAGCTTAATACAAGGCTTCCAGCACATCCTGTTTATAAACTTCTTATGATTGTGTGTGTGACATTCATTCATAATTGTACTGTGACTAGTGGATAGCTCCTGTCCTCTGTGAAGAATAATGGGCTTACTAAGTGTCCTGTTGCTACTGATAGGTTTAATCTACACTGCTCACTGTCAAAGTAAGTTATTTAACTTGTTGTTGCTGTCATTATTATTACTTAATCTTATACAAAACATAATTGTAGATCGTGGAACTGTTCGACTAGTCAGAAATGAATTTTTCTCACCATTTTATACAGCTGGGATAGTTCAGATCTATTACTTTACCAGTACCTCCTCTGCAAACAGATGGGGCAATATTTGTGATGATATTTCATTTGTAACCAGTTGGGGTATAATGGAGCTGCAACCTATGGTAGAGCTGGTAGCACATCAAGGTAAAGCTGTTGTTATAACTGATAATGGATTATATGTGTATGCTTCAAAATATTTTTTGCTGAATTGTTCATTATTTATCCAAAAATAAGGTCACTAAAATACCCTCATCGTGTATAGTGCTGCTAGTGCAGCTTCAAATTTAATTAATGATTGCACTTTCAGCATTAGATACCGACACTATCTTAATTTAATTAAGATAAAAGTTCAATGTTCTTCTATAGCTATGGAACTGACTTTAATGCTACCCTTCTTGATGATGTCAGTTGTTCTAGCAGTAACTACTTAACTCTACAGCAGTGTACTCTTACTACATTCATTTCAAGCACTTGCTCTCTTGATTCATATGATGCTTATGTAGTTTGCTGTAAGTTATAATAAATCTAATGAATTAGCATACCATGTACCTCAATCATACTTATTATAACTGTTGTTATCATACAGATACTACTAGAATCTGGAATAATCCTTATTCTGGACAGATTCATCTAGTAGGAGGTAATTATTCAAGTTATGGTAGACTGGAAGTATATTGTAATGGACAGTGGGGTACAGTATGTGATGATACTTTTGGTTCAACTGATGCTAGAGTTGCCTGCCGTCAGTTAGGATACAGTGATTACAGTACATATACTGGAAACCTGTTAGTTCAGTTATTGTGAAAACAATGCATTTAAAATATTGTTTGTGTTTCTAGTGCTGGGTCTAGCTCTCAACCTATTTGGCTGGACAGTGTTTATTGCAGCAGTTCATACAGTTGTCTTGCTACTTGTGAATCTTGTCCTTCTTCAGAATATCATAACTGTAGACACAATGAAGATGTTGCTTTGGGATGTGGTAAGCTTCTTCATCTTTATTTGAGTATTTAATTTGATATTTTTAGAATTTGACAGCTTTCAATTAACATCAAGAAATACATTAAGTACCTGTCGATATGCTGACAATAGATGGGGTAATAGATCTATTAATAGATAATAGTATCATAGCAATTGACAATTTCAAATAAACTGTAGCTGTGTAAATAGAATGTTTGAGTAATAAGTATGTTGTATCACTTGGGTAACTTTAAAGCATGAAATGTATCATAAATGTGTTATAATAGCACATATCAATTAAATGGTATATCTATTGATTGCTTTGCAATGTAATTGACCTAATGTCTGATGCTGATTCTCAAAGCATGCAATAAAATAAAGTAATTTCTATTATCTTTAATAGGTTCCAGTTCTACTACTTATACTTCCACTAGCACCACCACATTTTATACCCATAGCACCACCACATCTTATACCCATAGCCCCACCAGTACTTCCACTAGCAGCCCCAGGACTAACAGGTCTAATGGAAGGACAGCAGCTATCATTGGAGGAACAACTGCAGCATTCATCATATTAAGTTGTGGTGTCCTTATGATGATGATAACAATATTATGCTTAATATGTCGCTTTTCGGCTATTAGATATAGTGCTACTGCTGGACAGATTACTAATGTCACAGTAGCTACTAGTGCTAATGCAACTGCACCACCTCCTCCTCCTGCTTATAATCAGCAACCACCACCAGCAGTAGCTCCTTATCCCCCTCAGCAGGGATACCCTGCTCAGGCTGGCTACCCACCACAGGAGGGGTATCCTCCTCAAGGATATGCTTATCCTCCACAAGGATATGAAGCTGAACCACCTCAACATGGATATAATTCTCCCCCACCAGCTTATCCAGCAGCAAAATATTAATATAATTATTACTATAATTGTACTATTGCCTTGTTAGTAGAACTTAGGCCACAAGCTATAACTCATTGTATTTTCTTATTGCTTTATTATCAGCTCTTGTTATTATTATTATTATTATAAAATTTTTAAAGTTTTAAAGTACTTAAAGAGAACCAAGTCTTTATTGCTCTCAGAATTGCTACCAATTGATGGCTCATGCCATGTACTGGCCTATAAATTTGTGTTTCACCTTCATTATAAGCTCTATATATATATGCACCAGTGACTGGTTTGTAACTGCTGTGTGGAGCATCTTGTGTGAAGAATAATGGGTTTACTAAGCGTCCTGTTGCTACTGTTGGGTTTGATCTACACTGCTCACTGTCAGAGTAAGTTGTTCTTGCATATTGTTATTGTTCATTCAACTCAATACTATCATAGGTCGTGGAACAATTCGACTTGTTAGAAGTGGATCTTTCTCATCAACTTTTACAGCTGGAATAGTTCAAATCTATTACTTTACCAGTTCCTACAGTACAAACAGATGGGGCAATATTTGTTATGATAGTTCATTTGGTAGCACTGAAGCTAGTGTCATTTGTAACCAGTTGGGGTATAATGGAGCATCAAGTTATGGTAGAACTGGGAGCACATCAAGGTAAAGAAGCTGTTATTGACAATGTTGTTGTTCACCTCAGCGTCAACAAGAGTGATTGCATTATTGCACTTTCAGCATTAGCATAAACATTGATGCTATTTTAAGATTTTTTCACTATTTTCATTTTTTATGTATAGTTATGGAACTGACAGCAGTGCTGCCATTATTGGTGTTAGTTGCTCTAGTAGTAGCTATTTGACTCTACAGCAGTGTACTATTACTACATCCATTTCAAGCAGTTGTTCTTATTATTATTCAACATATGATGTTTATGTAGCTTGCTGTAAGTTAATGAATCAACATACCATTATTATTGCAATGCTGTCCCTCAATTATACTTATAATTTTTGCTAATATGCCAGATACTACAAGAATCTGGAATAATCCTTATTCTGGACAGATTCGTCTACAAGGAGGTACTTATTCAAGTTATGGTAGACTGGAAGTATATTGTAATGGACAGTGGGGTACAGTATGTGATGATAGCTTTGGTCCAACTGATGCTAGAGTTGCCTGCCGTCAGTTAGGATACAGTGATTACTATTCATACAGTGGAAACCTGTTAGTTCAGTTATTGTGAAAACAATTAACATATTGTTTGTGTTTCTAGTGCTGGGTCTAGCTCTCAACCTATTTGGCTGGACAGTGTTTCTTGCAGTAGTTCATACACTTGTCTTGCTACTTGTGAATCTTGTCCTTCTTCACAATATCATAACTGTAGACACAGTGAAGATGTTGCTTTGGGATGTGGTAAGCTGCTGATATAATACTGACAGTGATTAGAGAAATAATTTATACCGGTATTTAGAATTTGACACCAGTCAAGCTGCACCAAGAAATACACTGAGCACCTGTCGATATGCAAGCACTGAAGGTAACAGAATAATGGAACAAAACAAACTGATAGTTCTAATATTCTTATATATTAGGCCCCACTAGTACTGGCAGTAGCAATGGAGGCACTAGTAACGAAGCAGGCATCATTGCTGGAATAGTTGTATCCGTTCTCATATGCTTGATTGTTATATTTGCTGTACCAATATCTATAAGTTGCTGTTTGGGTTTTGCTGGTGCTAATTCTAATAGTAGAAGAAATGGACGTGCTACAGTAGTCACTACTGGTGCTACTAGTGCTACAGTAACAACTACAAATCTTGCTGCACCTCCTCCTCCTACTTATAATCAACAACCCCCACCTCCTGCTGCTGGTTATGATGTTGAAAAAGCTCCTTATCCACCTCAGCTGGGATACCCTGCTCAGCCTGGCTATCCACCACAAGTATAATGTGTAGACAGACCCAGGAAATTAAGATAATACTTTATACTGTAGTGACTAATAACTTCATATGTGAATGCTTTGTTAGATGTTGTATATAGCAAGTTTGATTTTCATGTAGTTTTAGTTGTAGTTTTTTGTTAAATATCTAAGTTTTGACTTTTTAATTTGCAGTGCTTGAAATTCCCCATTAACTTTCACTGCTTCAGTTACATGACTCTACCCATCACATGTATTCATAACATTCAACACAGTCAATATATAATCAAGTTTTTAACAAAATACCCTGCTATACCGTATAGCGGAAAATTTTGGAGGGACTAAAATTTGGCGAATTGCTAAATTTTGGTGATTGGCGGATTTTAATTTGGCGAATTGGTGGCCACGTGCATTGAGCATGCGTATAATGGCTCAAAATGGTGGGTTTAATTTTGGCGAATGGCTATCAAAACGCCAAATTCGCCAAATTTAATTCCCTCCAAAATTTCCCGCTATACGGGTAGTTATCCAATGCAGAGCCACGAGCTATTAACAGTAGAATTGGAGTGATTAAATATTTCATTAACATACAAAATAAACACGTACATTATATATAGCAAAAAAGGTACACAAAGCAATATATATGTACACCATACATGCACATACAAAAATAATAAACAAGAAAAAAGGATAAATATATATTTGTGTATATTTACATCACAAAAATACAAAAAAAGATTACACAACAGGAGATTACAAGGATATACATTGATACACTAGGAGAGAGAGAGGGGGAGGGGGGAGTGATTCAATAGTTCAATATAATCTCATGCATACAATATCTGTCACGTATTAATGGTCTCACATCATCCTAAGAAATGAAAAAATTGATGATAGCTCCTGTTTTTTATACAAAAATTGCATGGATGTTTAATTCTAATGCAAATTTTTCAAGTTATGACCATTTTATAAAATGGGTCAATTTTTGAAAAATAGCCAAGGCTATAGCCCATGGTTTTTTCCAAAAATTGGCTCTGAAATCACCCCAAATTTTTATTACATTTTCTGATACATATTGATATCCTTAAGCTGTGTAGCAAGTTTGACTCAATTCTCAGTTCAATTTTTCAAGTTACGGCCACTTTAAGAAAACGTCAAAATTCTGAAAAATAGCCAAGGCTATAGCCCATGGTTTTTTCCAAAAATGGCTGCAAAATCACACCAAATTTTTATTACATTTTCTGATACATATTGATGTCCTTATGCTGTGTAGCAAGTTTGAACTAATTCTGACAAATATTTTTTGAGTTATGGCCATTTTAAAAATTTTACATTTTAAAATAATGTACTACCATAATATAGTACTCATACCTTGTCCAGGAGTGACTCTAGAAAGGGGAGGAGTTTCATAAGTTCCTCATCATTCTCGTCCATGAACCAGCTCTCAATGGGTACTCCGTTGGACAACTAAAATTTGAATATCAAAATAAGACGAGAATGACTTCACTGTCTGTTTGTAAACAAACGTGAGAGCTAAAGACATTGCAAACACTAAACATGTTACCAAATATGGAAACAGGATGAGAATAGATGCCAAATTAGAGAAGAGAGAGAGAGAGAGGGGGGGGGGAGGGAGAGGAGAAGAAATATTAAAACAAATGTACATTATAAAGCTAGATAATCCACGTTCCAGTTGTCTAAAATTTACTGGAATTTGTAAAAATGGAATATCGTTATCAAGTAACAAAAACTTAGCTCTTCAAGTAAAGATTAAAATCACTCCTTACCTGATATCCAAAAGCTTGAGGTGAATTATCCACAATGATAGTCTTGGCCAGGTCTCTCCCCAGGATCCCCAGTTCCTTAATAAAGTTACCGTCCACACAGACACAGTGGTCCCTGAAGAGCCTGTGCTTGACTAGTCGTCTTGATGGGTCGATGAGATCCAACAGTTTATCGGCGTACACTTTAGTGGAGGCAGTGAAGAGGATCACCTATGAATATTAATAAGCATCATTAGCATTGTTATTACTGTATAAATTCATTCACTCTCTCTCTCATAATAATAATAATAATAATAATCATTATTATTGTTATCATTATCATCATTATTAGGCTGCGTTTACACAGCAACAAAAACGGTGCAATCAGTATAGTTTTGTGCCTTTTTTATGCTTCTGTTTACACAGAAACGAATGAAAACGTGATAGAATCTTGATAGAACTCTTAATTACCTCAAATTGTTTTGAGACCCGTTCTAAAAACTCGTGGAAATAGGGTCTGAGACGGACGTACACATCAAAGAGCTGGTTGCTGTACTCAACTTTAAAAGTGAAATTGGCCAATTCTAACTTAGACAGACTGCAATGGACCAAAGTCTCATCCTAGAGGAGAGAGAGGGAGAGAGAGAGAGAGAGGGAGAGAGAGAGAGAGAGGGAGAGAGAGAGAGAGAGAGGGAGAGAGAGAGAGAGAGGGAGAGGGAGGGAGAGAGAGAGAGGGAGAGAGAGAGAGAGGGAGGGAGATAAGGTTATATGTGTGTGTGTGTCTATTTACCAAGTCAAGGACGAGACAGAATTCAGGAGTCCTTCTTGTTCTCCTCGGTAAAACCGGAGGTCTGTTAGTAATCTCACTTGTCAATGGAGGCAAAGAACGAATGAAAGAAAAACTGAACAAAGAAAGGAAGAGAGAGAGAGAGAGAGAGAGAGAGAAAGGAAGAGAGAGAAGATTCCAATAAAGACATGTCCAGTACATATGTACTTAATTAAAGATAAAAGAACAGGTACATTATACATGTGTTACATAAAACCATAAAACAATAACTACATTAAATGTACACACACAGTAACTAACGGGTTATTAATATCACCGGGATTCACTGATGATACAATAGCTGACGCCCCCTCACTAGATTGCCCTGCCCCATCAGCAGTCCCACCACTGTCACATGACACAGTGTTAATAACTAGTGGCTTGGTCTCGTCCGCAGGCGTTATATCAACCTGCTGCACCCCTAACTGCTCATAATTGAGTGAGGGAAGGGTTAAATTTGGAAGGTAGTCGTCAGGAAGGAAGGCCTGGTCTCTGGGGAGTGAAGCTAAACCATCAGCCTAAGGAGAGAGAAGAAGAGAACATGAGGACACTGTACGCTATACTGTCCAAAACATGTTACTAGTATCATCATCATCATCATTATTATTAACATGACAAAGGAAGTAACATGGAAGCTACACCTACATGTCAGAAATAATACAAACAGGAAAAGAAATAAGAAAATATTATTATTAATTATTATATTTTTTAGAAAGCTGTACATAGTAGAGGGAGAGCCTGATGAACATTACAAATTAAACATACCAGAGATAACACTATAATTGAACTAGCTGGACAACAGAATAACACATTAATTTATGATTAATTATAGTAAGATTATGACTTTAAAAAAGATTGAGAGAATGAAACTTACTAAGTTTGACTGGTCACAGATAAGACTTGAACATAGACAAAATGAACTAGAAAAAATAACAATGAAAATAAATAAATAAATAAATAATAATAGTAGCACATGTATAGCTTCTTTGCTAATAACACAATTAAAATATTCCCTCAAAACCCACTTCAACCTTTCACTTTCTCTCCCTCCCTCCCCCCTCTCTCCCTCCCCACCTGCTATTACTGCTACTACAGAGACATGAGACAGGTTGGTTGCTGAGGGTCACAGCAGAAGGAGAAGAAGAGACAGTGAAAGAAGTGGCAGCATCACCACAAAGAAACTTATTATAATTAATGTGACTAAGAGACGTGTCCCCATTATTGTTGATGTTATAATTTCCGCTGATTGTAAAAGAGGGGAACACCTGATGAGACTGACTAGGAGAGACTAGCTGCTGTACTGGAGGAGGTGAACTATCAGGAACTAACACTGAAAACTGAGGGAGAGAGAGGAGAGAGGTTGAATTTCATTTTAATAATTATAGTCTATACTTACAAAAGGAGGGTATCTGTCACCATGAAGACGCTTTCTCTTCTTTGGAGAAACATGAGACACCATTTGATCAGTAAAGACCTCCTGAGAGAGAGAGAGAGGGGGGAGAAAGGAGGGAGAGAGAGAGAGAGAGAGGGAGAGTAATTAAGCAGAACATCTAAACGTATCAATACTCAGTGATTGCTTCATTAATAATTCAACAAATTAATAAAAAACATGACAAACAAGTCAGCAAAACCAGTCAGACCACTTTCCATATAAAGAAAAGGAAGCACCACCAATGATTAGCCATACTTTGAAGTTCCATACACATATGCCTGATCAGTGTATAATAACTGTGAATAGTATAACCACCTCCCTTGGTCTCAGGACATGAATACAATCACAGGTAGTAACACTGCATGTCATTATAATGTATAAATCAATGGAGACTCACTACATGACACATTAACACCTCTTGATGCATGTACATCTATATGTTCTGTATATGTTTGTATTATGTGTTATATAAGCAACAGCTTCTTAACTGGACAATGAGAGCATGCAGTGTCACTTATGAATATAAACATGTCACTATAAAACACTATAGATGATGATTCTTAATAGTGCTACCACACACCAACAAACACCATACAACACATTCAATTATAAGTACAAGTACATACACATATACTGTACTACACATAGTGACTGTACGAATAGTAGACACACACACACACAGACACACAGACACACACAGACATTGTATGGAGGCATTAATTGGTATGTGCTAAAAGTGTACAATTAGTATATGAGAACATGTGATGGATAATTAAATCACTCCTACTCAGTAGTATGAAGGATTGTGGTTTAAGGAATTTACTATGAATATAGTGGGGAAATATTTATAAAATAAAGTAATGATGTGTGTGTGTGTGAGAGAGAGAGTCTTACATCATCGTTGGAGGCTCCGTCTTCTCTTGAACACATCTCTCCTCCTCTCACATTGTCCTCATTGATGAATGTACACACACAAGAAGACGAACAAGATGACACACTTGATGTCACCGTCTCATCTTGAGGACCCTTCTCTTCTATGATGTGATGGACAGGAGAACAAAGAACACCACCATGATGATGAGAGAATCCATGAGGAGGAGAAGGACCAGGCGATGGAGACGAAGGGGCTTTGACATCTAACCAAGCAATCCGAGGAGCTTTTAGAGGAGGAGAACAAAGAACTGACTGGAGTGCTGGGTAGACCGATGAAGATGTCATGCTATGAAGAAAAGAAAAGAGATACAGTAGCTAATAAATACAAGTTACTATACAGTACAGGATAGCCTCTATAATAAGGATAAGACACTTCATTACCAGTGTATGCCTATATTCTGCTATATTTCATGCCCTGAGATACACAATGTGCAGTACTAATAGACATACTGTTAACATAGTGAGTAGTGTAGGGTTTATATTAAGGACACCTTTCAAATAAAAGTACCTACTACAAGAGGGCAGTCCTCATTATAAAGGAGAACACCTACAGATGTATCTCAGTAGTGTTGGTCAGTAATTCAATGTCTTTTAGCACAAGGTATTAGATAAACAGAAACAAGGGCCAGTACACAGACACTATAATTCAGCCATTGGGTACACAATGAGGAGAAGGAGGGAACTGTGGTAAGCCACAATGGGACTGATTCATAAAGCAGGTGTCAACAGGGTCCTTTATAAGGATTCCAGAGACTAGCTGACACTTTTACACTTACTACCAAAATGGTATTAGTTATGGAGGGGGAGAGGGAGGGCTAGAGGGGGTTTATTCAGTAACTAAATATTACAGAAGATATCATTACAACTGATATGAAGATTTTAACTTTAAAATAAGTACATGTAATATGTGGATATAAATGTACATGTACATCTGGAAAATCTTGTTCTCACTTTTAATATAAAATAAATATGAAGTAAGTATACATTTAATGATTACAGTATATTTAATCACAAAAGTACATGTACATAAACATAGACAATACACAAACTAAGCGCAGGCCTAATACAGTATATACGCATACACACACCAGTGATCATTTACTACTAGAAATTGAGAAAACTGCCAAAGTACACTGTTTCTAAACACTTCAACGAACAGGGAGCTCTTTTTAAAGCTTTATAAGCGAGGGGAGGGTTCTTAAAGTGTAGCTAGCTAACCTTGGTGCTTTCTTGTAGATTATAAAGCTATATAAAACACGGGGCACTTGTACGGGAAGGCTTCTAACAGATAAATCCTTCGCTCTTTCACGGTTAAGCTTTTCCTATCACTGGCGCTCAGAATAGAAGAGGGCTTAGTCTCTATCCATGGGCTGGCTCAGAGAAAAGAGAGAGAGAAAGAACGAAGAGAATTTTCTGTAAAGGCGCTACAAAATAGACGCGCCTTTCACTGTGGGCGGAGCTTATTCTGTTTCCCGCCAAAAGGAGGGAAACAAGATTAATTAATTAATTCAAAGCAATTAAAAAATTAAGAAGTTTTTATTTATTTTATTCATTATTTTATTAAAATAAGTTAAGAACATTTAGGTAAAAATAAAAAAATAATAATAATACCCAGATTATCTACTACACACAACTATTGAATAATGATAATGATTATAGAGAGAGAAAGGGGGGGAGAGGGATAGAGAAAAAGAACACGACATAGGACAATGATTATAGTTTATAGGGTCTGGCACTTCTTCTAATATCTGTAAAAAAGACAAAAAATAAATATTTGGTTATGAAGCAATTATTATTATCATTATTATTATTATTATTATCATCATCAAGCAATGAAGTCAAGATATTCATGTACTCCTCAATTCAACTACTAAATTTTACCCTCCCTCTCTCCCTCCTTACCCATACTGCATGGCAGTAGCAGGTTGATGGTACCCACTCATGGGATATTCATCACTGTTCCTTACTGCTCTTCTGGACCTCCTCCTTTGAGAATAACTCCTACGTAACGACTTGCGCCTCTCTCCTCTTTTCTTCATGTGCTCAGGACGAGGGAGTAAGCAATGGCAGGCCAACACAACCAAAAACAAAACGACCAGAGTGACAACACTACCAACCAAAGCAGCCCACCAATACTCTGTCAGGTAGCGTATGATGCTTTCAAGTTGTTCCCCAGTCAATAGATTAGTCAGTCTTCTTAAGGCACCCTCGCTCTGGACTGGTTGACAGGAATTAAGGAAGTCACAGTATCCATTGAAATTATTACAAGGGAATCCAACCTGTAGGAACTGACCCTCTCCATTGGGAAGGTAACCTCTTGCAGTGTCATTGGATTCTGCTAGTGAAATGGTAGAGGTACATACTTCATTAAGTTCACAGCAAACGTGACACTTCAAGTCTTGTTGAGTGCATTCACAGTCTCTGAGGTTGAGTGGTACACATATTGATCCAGTGCATTCCTAAAGTGAGGAAATGAATGTATGTGTGTAAACTTAGAATAAATAATGATGTACTTACATTATACTGTGTATGAGCATGCATACCATATAGTACCAATATGGTCACTAATTATTGTGCTCGAGTAGTTTAATGTAATTATAGCTACATTGTACCTTTTGAGGCACGTGAACTAATGGCTCCATTATTGTAAACTTTGCTCTCTCTCTGTTGCATCTCATTAGCTTCCATCTCCCTCCCACCTCTCTCTTTCTCTTTCCCTATCCCTCTCTCTCTCTCTCTCTCTCTCTCTCTCTCTCTCTTACCCCATTCTGGCAGTAGTTGCTTCCTCCATTACAAGGTATTGCTGTGTTGTTTTCAGATGGGATTGGTTCAGGAGTTGGACAAGCAGCACTGGTCCCAGTAGGAAAGAGTTAAGGACACACAATTATATTCTTTTAAAATTTGGCATAATTCTTAAAATGCTCATAACTAAAGAAATTAAAGTGGAATCAGCTCAAACTTTCTACATACGTGTACATGTAACACAAGAACATCAATATGTACCAGAAAAGTTAACAAAAATTGGAGATGATTTCAGAGCCATTTAAAAAAAAGGCATGGGCTATATAGTACAGGTGCTAGATTTGCATGTATACATTGTATGTATCCTGTGACATGTACATGTGCTGTATAAAAGGATATTTGCAAGTTTGATTGAAAGCACAGTCATCTTCCAGGAAACAAGTGAAGTTACTCTCCAGGGTCCTGAAAGAACAGTTCTGTAGACAGCAGCTGCCCTGTTGAGGACTAATAGAAAATGAAAATAGAAATAATAATAATAATAATAAATTTGTTAAGTTTATCAAAAATCGAGCCAAAGTCACTATACTATATTAGTAACGCGGTAGCGTTACTAAGTAGGATTCACCCCCAAACAAAATGGCTGCCACGACTTTTGCAGCCTTGCTATACCGGGAAATAGTACAGGATCATGGGCCAAATTTTGCCAAAAATTAATAGGAGAAAATTCTTCATTTTAATTACATTTTCTGATGGATATACACAGGGCTGCCAATAGGGGGGGGGGGCAGGTGGGGCATTTTGCCCCGGGCCCCCAATCAATAGGGGGCCCCCAAGCACCTGGTCAGTAGTAAAGTATGCATAGATTTTCACAGAAAAAGATCAAAGAATCATGACAACTTTTTAAAGTTAACTCTTGCTGGGCCATTTTGTTAATCGCTGTTATTAATAAGGGGGAGATTTGTATTAGTAGGGGCCCCATCAAAGTTTTTGCCCTGGGCCCCACGTAGCCTATTGGCAACCCTGGATATACATGTACTTATATTGCATAGAAATTTTGAGCTCATTCTGATCAAAATTGGATATTTTATGAATTTATAAAGTTGCTCCAAATGTCATGTACTGTATTGCAGCTAGTGGTTATCAGCTCATGAAGCTGATGCTGAGAGATACAGTATATTGTCAATACTGACCTGCAATCTACTGAGGCTTCATTTCTCACTGCCAGCTGACATATGGAGCCATTGCAGCAGCTGTCATTGTAACATAGTCCGGTAATTTGATTGAAATTGAGTCCACAGTCGCACTCCTCCCCCTCATCAATGAGGAGGTTCCTACAATTATCCCCTTCAGTTAGGAAACACCGATCTGAAGGAGAGAATCAAAGAGCAAGAAATAAAACATCTACATGTACCAGAATATACAGGATCAATGGAACTAATGGGTTTTTGCTTGTCACAGATTTCGTGACAATGGAACTAATGGGTTTTTGCTTGTCACGGATTTCGTGACAATGGAACTAATGGGTTTTTACTTGTCACGGATTTCGTGACAATGGAACTAATGGGTTTTTGCTTGTCACGGATTTCGTGACAATGGAACTAATGGGTTT